ATGAAGTGAAATCAAAATATCCCAATAATAAGATAATATGAAATATAGTTCAACTCAAACTCCATCTTTCCCAAATCACAATATTCTTTTCATTAATATATAATTTCAAAAATAAATAGCAATGACATATTACATAAGAACTCATAAGTAATTAGCTCTGTCATCACTAAGGGGGTCTTCATTTGAATCATCAGTATGATGAACTGCTCTCTCCCCTTCCTCCTTTCCTATAGAGTCCAATGTCTCCCAATCAGGTCCTTCGTCAATATCAGTTATCTTCATCTTCCCTAAATATTTTTGAACAATATCAAAATAAATAAGTGTAATACATTAATAAAAGTTTAAGAAAATTTTATTACTTACATACCTTTTTTGATTTGCTCTTGAGTTGTGATGGATGTAGATGCTTTAAGACCATCAAAGAAATCAACATTTAAATCTTCATCTTGTAATTCAGACGGCATCATTTCAGCTTCATCATCTACAGACCACTCATCATCAGATGTCACATCCTCGCAAAGCAAAGGATCATCATCATCCATTAATCATTTTTTCTTCAAATTCCTATATCTGAGTCTCCTATCATACATAATGTACACCAGTGAATTCATTCTCAATGTGGACAAGCGATTTCTCCCTTTTTGTATGTACTTGGTTGTAGGTATTCCAATTTCTTTCACAGCCAGATGAAGAGCATGTCAAACCCTCTCCCAAATGCTCAAACTAAAAGAATCATGTTGTAATAGGCAGGTGATGTTGTAACATTAAATGGAATTGCATTTCCTTAGAAGAATCTGCCTATATCCTTACACACTCTTCTCCGTGCCTACCTTGCATTTTCTGGGGCCATCTTCTGTGTAGGAGGCATATCCTCTGATGTGCCCACTATATAATGTTTCATAGGCCCTCAAGCACCCCTAGATGAAATGGGCTTCATCGAAGAAGATGAATCCCTAACGCTGCGCTCACTCCCGTAGTAAGAGCCAACATCAACTCTATCCTCAAATTGTTTCTGTGCAAGATGTTTTGACGTGGTAGACTTATTCATGTATGACTTTATCTCCTCCCTTACAGTATCAGGAACTTTGGAGCATGGAGCAACATTCTTGTGAGACCCTGAAAGGTGATCTTTCATCCTAGTCACACCACCCTTCACAATTTTATCACAGTAATTGCATTTTAGATAGATATATGTTTTATCACTTCCCCCTACATCCACCTGAGTGCTATATTTCCATGCTGGATCTTTTCTATGACCTGATGCAGCTGTATCCTTACTTCTGACCATCCTTTATGAGAAGAATATATTAGTACAATATATCAAACACCTAAATATAATGCTTCACTTATTTTATATTAAGAAAACTTATATAAACATGCACTCATGAAGAAGCAGACTAACACTAACAATTACTACTAAAAATGATGAATACAACAATGTACCGGTCTGCCGGGGGTTCAAGGGGGCGCTGCCCCCTGGCGGGGTCCAAGGGGGCAGCGCCCCCTGAACAAAATTTTATTGTAAGTAATTTTGAGCAGTACCGGCTCAGTACCGAGTGGTACTGGCTCGATACGGAGCATGTACCTAGTGGTACCGAGCATGTACTGCTCAGTATCGAGCATGTACTGCTCAGTACCGAGCATATACTTGCTCGGTACCGAGCATGTACCTAGTGGTACCGAGCATGTACTGCTCAGTACCGAGCATATACCTGCTCGGTACCGAGCATTACTGAGCAGTACCAAGCATGTACCTGCTCGGTACTGAGCGGTATCGAGTGGTACCAAGCATGTACCTAGTGGTACCAAACATTGTTGTACTGAGTGGTACCGAGCATATACCTAGCGGTCTCAATGTGGAAGAAAGAGAACGCCGAACGAAGACGGAAAAAGGTCGCGGTAGAAGATAGCTCCAACCTAACTCGCGGTAGAAGATAACTCCAAGTAATAAGCGAAGAGCGACTCAATGTGGAAGGACGCCGACGCCGAATGAAGAGGGAAAATGGTCGCTCGAAGAAGAAGAGAGAAAACCTATTTTCGGGAAATGACGAAAGACCGCGCGGGGGTTGGGGTGTCCGAACCGAACAAATATATATTAGGTTAGCTTTTTTTTTTTTTTGATTTTTAGAGGCGGACGCCTCTCAACCGCGCCTCGCTTCAGTAAACTTGAGGCGTACGCCTCAAATCTTGAACTCATTGCATAGGCTTTGAGGCTTAAATGTGCGAAATTGCGCTGAGGCGCACTTCTTATTACGCAATTTTAAACCATGGATGCCTGAAATCATTAAAAATCTACATAATGAGTTAAAAAATTCAACAATAATTCAAAACTCACTAAAGCTTTTAATGTAAGGAATAAAGAATCTATATAATATGCTCAACCTCAGGGGTGTCAAAAATTGACCGGACCCAAAAATTTCTCGGTTCGGGTCAACCCGTTTACCAAACGAGGTTGGTTCGGGTTGACCTCAAAACTTGCTCAATCGCTCACCTCGCCTTGCTCAGTCCTACTGAGCCATTCGCTCACGTGTCGCACAATCGTTGCTCAGACGTTTAGTTGCTAACTACCACGCAGTTTCCTCATAGTAAGGCATCGTGCTCACGTGTGGATGGACTCCTTTGTTTCTCATGTGTCTGAAGTAGACCGAATTAAACCTTGCCCGCACTACCTGCCACACAACTTTGCTGTCGCTCATGTATACAAACTGGACTGAGTTGGACTCCGTCAGCACTTTCTGACGCATGGCTCACTGCCGCTCGTGTTCGAACTGGAGTCCACAACTGCCGTCGCCCGTTGAGTCGCTGACAGCCATTGCGCACACCGCAGTTGCACTTGCTTGTTTTGAATTAAATAGGTTTACGGGTCAGGTCGGGTCAACTTGATAACCTATGCGAGTCAGGTCAAATTGGTAACCCGTGTTGGTCGGGTTTGTGTTGGATATCCCTACCCTTTTGTAAAACCAGGTCGGGTTTGGGTTGACCAGTTTAGACCCAGATCAATTTGGGTTCGATCCGCAACCGACCAGTCGACCCGTTTTGACACCCTTAATCTAATATAATCAATAACAATCAGTGTAGTTTATGATCAAATATTATCAATAAAACTCAAAGTGATCAATAATAAAAGTAGGGAATTATTACAATGAATCTAAAAATCAATTATTTGTATAAAATTCAATAAATCGGTAAAACAAATATGCAAAAATTATTCATAAATCACTAAAGCAATCTATCATATTTATTCACATGCATCATAATTTTATGTATTATCAATCCATCCAATACTGTTAGTGATGTTAATATATCTATCATTATCATCAATGTTATTAATATATGCATGCATCAATGTATGATTTAGCAAGACAAGACATCCAACTTTAATATGACGTTTTCAATATCTTTTATCCCAACAGATTCTCAATTGGTCATCAATTATATCAATTATCACTTATCTAATTAATCAATTGTCATATTCAATTAATCAATTATCATTACAGGTGGCTTCCTTAATTCAATAAAGAGTCGCCATTCTCTGTCATCATCGTAATTGGTCATTTGTTACAGGCTACAACCGGGAGGAAAGCCCGTTGGCCCACCCTACTGCGCATGGTATTATGTTTTAACTGCCAATCAATTTTATAGTATTAAGAACTAGCATTTCTTGCTTATGCAAATGCCACAATCAAAATGTAGTAGGAAATAATCAATTTGTTAAATGTAAAAAAATTTATATAATAATCAAAATTATTGAAAACTAAAATGAGATTTGAGTAACAAAAAATAAAAGAAATCTCCAAACAAAATTGACGGATGAAAAAGCCCCGAGCAACCTTCCCTCTCTTCCCTCTCTCCTCTTCAGTAAGACACGACGCTGAAATTTAGATTTTTCATTTAAAAAAAATTCAGATTATTGCAGATAGGTTCATGGTTGCCATTGCAAAGGAATTATTGCTAGGAGTGAGAATTTCACAACGATAATGAGTAGAGGGTCAAGATGATATCGACGACTCAAAAATGGATCTTAGTCTAGAATGTATAATCATAATAGTTTGTGAAGTAGAGTGTAAAGGTTTGAGGAAATCAAGTTCTGCGATTTATAAGGCTCGATGGAGATGATGTGACAATGGAGATTCATCTATTAATTACGAAGAGCTTGAGATCTGAGTTGATGCGGTGCTTGAGATGTCCTATGGTGAGATAATCTGATGCTCTATCATGACGAACAAATAGGACTCATCACTGACATGTTTCAATCAGTGGAAGGGGGTTCGACGTGGGTTTGTTGGGATTGAAACAACAACATAAATGCTCATTAAAGTAGCCTTATGATGTAGTGATGGATATGGCTAGAGCAGGGTTGGCAATTTGATAAAGAGCAGTGAATGTTTAAGGATTTGTGACGATCATTGGACATAAGATATTAAATGGATATGGACGGGGAACGGTACACCCTCATAAATAGAAAATGTTTATGAGCATGAGATGATTAATTGTAATTAGGGGTGGCAGTTTGGGTTGATGGGTTGGGTACAAGTTTGACTAGAAGTTGAATGTTGTCGAATCTTTTTTGACATTAACCTGACGCTTTTATTTTTTGGCTTAAAATATTTGATCCAAATCTGATTGGATCCTAAATTGCCTTGTCTAACCCATTTTTTATATTGGGCATGCAATTTTTTGGATCAATATGACCTTATTAACTTAGTATGACCTGTTTATTCTAATTAGCTTGATATGAACCTACCTAACTCAAACCCAAGTAATTGGACACTTTCTTACTACTTTTAAAGCAGCTTTTCAATACAAAAATTTCTTGAACTAGAATTTTTTTGTATTAAAAAATTGCTTTAGAAAGAAGTAAGAAAGTTGTCTCAAATGAAGCCTTAATTTTTTTTGTCTGCTTATGCAATTTTTTGTTATTTTTTGCTTCCAGTAGCAGATGGCCCTCTGTTGTCTCTTTTTTCAACTTTCTTTTACTCGTATGTTACTTTCTTTTAAAGGTTGACAAGGCTTTGCAAAGCATGGAGGAAGAGGCTGAACGTATATATAAAGAAGAACGGGGCTTGCTTCTTGAAGATGATGCTGCTTCTACTAGAGATACAATGTAAGTTCCTATAGGCATAGATTTCCAAGGCTACATAAATGCTAAATAAGTTTATTTAATCTTTTTGTGTCATTGAATGATCCTGATGACATACATGGGTTTTTCATTATACGATTTAATCTCAACTATCGTAGGCGGTAGGTCATAGTGATTTTTTAAATCTCAGGTTTGAGAAGGCAGAGTTTATTGTAAGGGAAATGGAGCGGATGGCTGAGCAAATTAAAACAATAATCCAAGCTTTTAATTCCAAGCAGGTATATTCCAGAAGAATAAAGTGTGCTACTTTTTTTTTAAATGCCTTTCAATTTATTGCGTTGTGTAGGGAGGGAGCATGGATTTGAGCGATAGCATGACTCCTATTGATGCTGCTGTCCGCATATTGAATAATCAGCTCAGTTCCTTGATGTGGATTGACGAAAAGGTCAGCAAATATTAAAGTTACGTTTTGGAAAATTTCTTGCTTGCAATATACTCCTATGATTTTGTGATACTTAAAGGGAATTTATCATTCATCCTAAGGAAATTAAACAAAGTTACTAATATAGTTCTGGTAGCTGACAGGCAGAGAAGTTTTATTCTCATTGGAAACTGTGTGTTAGGTATCAGTGTTACTTTTCTAACTTAATGTGATCAGAATTAGTGAAACTAAATGATTATTAAGCTTTCTGACATTATGATATGCAGGCATTCATCACCTATGTAGCCTGTGTTTACCAATGTTTTTATTTTTATTTTTTAAACAATGTTCTGTGCTAGGATGAATGCTGAAATATTTTTTATAAACGAGTAATCAGAGCCTTATCTCATGACGAATTGCATTTTGAATTGAAAGTTCATTTTGCCACTGATTTTTAGCGAAAATCACATTCTTGGTTTATACTTGATTTATAAAAGTATGTGAGAATATTAGGTTTAGTTTCATATCAGTTGAAAAATATATGATGTAAAAATATTAAAAGGATTTAATTCTTGGTCTGAAATTGGGTTTTATCTTTAGTGTATCTGGCCAAACTTTGGTACACCTGTTTTCAAACTCTCTAATAATTGATCTAAAGGCTTGGAGTTCAACTTGGATCAACTGGCTCATGCAGTTTGTAGCTCCCATGGTATCTCATCTATGCTCCAAATGGTGGCACACCTCAAACAATGCCTGATATGTTGAAGTGGCTCAACTTTAACTTGTGAGACCAACTCTAGGTGCTAAGTTCAAATGAAGCTATTTTGTGTTCCAAAGAAAGATTCTTACATGCAAATAGGTAAAGTATAAATCTGTAATCATAAGATATATTTTTTGAATTAATGGAATTACTAACAATCTATATCATAAGAAAAATTAAAACATCAAACTGATGAAAAGGGAGGTAACCACAACAATGAAAGGAAATTAAGCAAATCCTACTATATATGAATTTGAAATAATGAAACTTTTGAATTAATTGATCCGTAAACCCAAAGAATATATGCTTTTGTGATGATGATCTACCAATCAACTTAGTAGGACCTGTTAAGAGCACATCACCAACAAGGGAGTTTGCTATGCAAACTCAATATATACCTTATATTTAATAAAACATAAATGATAAGCCATCTGATGTTAAATATGATTAATGAAAGTGCAATTTAATTATTTATTATAGCAATTATAACTAATGTATTATACATGATAGATTATTGTTATGTGTGGAATCTGATTGTGTTGATTAATCTGGTTATTTTGTTGTTTCGGACCTCAAAGCTTGTCGTGTACATTGGGGGGTGTGGGGGGTTTACCTCCTGCTCGGGTTCGGGCGCTTTGCATCAGTCAAATTTTTTTCCTTGCGACGTCCCGACGCTGCGTACCTGAGCGTCCCGACGTTATGTTCTCGAGTGCCCCAATGCTGAACGACAGAGCAGAGCGCCACAGTAGCCTAGATATGGCTGCTGCAACGGTGCAAGACAGAGGCTTGAGTGTCGCATCTCTTCAAACTGGCGTCATAGTGTTGAAAGATGGATTGAGCATTTTTCTTTCCTATTTTCTGAAGGGTTGCTGATGAGGACATCCGACAGTGGAGGGTTTGTCAGAGACGAGGCCGGAAATCGACGACCACGATTGCATCCCTTTATTTCTGAGTTATTAATTGTATTTTTATTTATTATTGTATTGTTTTCGATTTTACCCTCACTTGAGGGAGTAGGTTCTTGTGACCCTGAGGGGCACTTTTTTCTTTTGATGTTTACTGTTGTACTTGGTTATTTATACCCTTTTTCTCTTCTTGAGACGGATGATGATTATTATGAAAGTATTTTCTTCACTTGTGACTTTATGAGTCTTGAGAGATCTTGAGAGAGTTGAAGTCCCTAGGTGTGGGCAACGTATCACCCGTCAGCCGCAGGAAGCGTCCGGGCTCACGGTCCATCTCCTTCCTCCCCAAATTGCAGGCCACCCCTCTTTTCCCTCCAAGCCGTTGGCCATCATGTTCCCCCTCCCCTCCAAACCGCCGGCTACCACCGTTCTCCTCCCTCTAAACCGTCGGCTCTGAGCCCCAACACCGCCGACCCTAAGCCCACCTAGCCCAAGTCCCACCATCTCCCATAGCCGCCGACCTTCACTTCCAAACCCTAGCCATCGGCCACCCCATTCCCTCATAGATTTACTACTTTCCTAAAATACTTCATTATTAATTTGGAAGGTTTTTAAATTCAAATTCAAATAAATTTGAAATTTAAATTCTTTCCTAAATGATATAACTTATTTTAGGAAAGCCCCACCCCCCCCCTCCAAATTTGAAATTAAATAAGATTTGATTTTAAATCTACATTCACCGTATGTGGACACATTCAACATATGAGGACTCTATTTTCTTTTTCCCTCCTTTTGGTCGGCCCCCCTCTTCCTATCTCTTTAATTGCTTCCTTCACAATTGGGAGCTCCAATTAAGGAGCCAATTGGCCACCCCTTTCCCCTTATTCCCTCTTTCGCTCTTTTATTTTATGGAAATTAAAATCAAGTTCTCTAATTATCTCTATCATCAAATCTGAATTTAATTTCAGAAATTTGAATTGAATCTCTTCTAGTCCACAACCAAAATCTGAACCAAAATAGCCCTATTTACTTAGGCTTCGTTTGATTCGGTTTATGCTTACATAAAAAAGAGTTTTAGAAAAGCAGGTTGAGAAAAAGCCGTTCAATAAAATGGAGTTTCAATAATGAGATATGTTTGACTAATATTTTTAAAAGTGCTTATTAATACTTGAAAGTAATTTTAAATTGTTTGTTTAGGAGTTCTGCTTTTGAGATTTTATTATTTAATACTTGAAAGCAATTTTAAATCAGTAATTCGTTTCCGAAACTCCGTTTTGTGACCGAAGAAGCAGATACGAAAAGAATTTTGTAACCGCCGAAAAAACGATGTTTATTAAAAAGGAATTATTGTTAAGCTTTGATTCCAAACAGTAAATACTAATTGATTTCGGCATATTCAAACGGAAACGGAGAAAAAAAGCCTTATCAAACGAGGCCTTAGTCTTGGCCGACCACTCAACTTTGTTTTTCCTGTACATTGACTCCTGCAGAATTTCGTCAATTTCAAGGCTGCTGTCCCACCTCTCTCGTTCACCCAATTTGTTGTCCAAGAGCAGTCTAAAGATTTCATCCATTCCTCTTTGTTGTCTAAAGATTTCATCCATTCCTCTTTGCTGTCTTGTTGTTCGGGAGATTCCAGATTGCTATCTAGAAGTTTCAGCTAGTCTTCCTTGCTGTCCTGTTGCCCTGAAGATCCCCGTTTGCTATCTCGAAATTCCAACACTTCAAATTTTGCCGTCCACTCTCTTCCGAGTTTCGACGAAGGTGAACTCTCTCCAAACCTTATTCCTTCTCAATCCCTCTCAACTGTGGCATCATAAGATTGTGCAAATTTTCTCCGCAAGCCGACTTATTAAGAGTATGTGAGTGGATCCAAATAGTGTCTAGTCTAAATGTTAATTTAGGGATTTCCTTTGAAATCCTCCATGTTATGCTAAGCTTGATTGCATTGGTTAATATTATGATCCTAAATGATTGTTGTGTAATTTGGCTTGAGCTACATCACCCCTCTTCTTGTATTTAATCTATGTTTAAATCTTTTAAAGTTGGAATAATTATTGTTGTTCTAATCTAAGGCGTTTGATTTCAATATTGGATATTTACATATGCATCTAGTTCTACATCAGTTGTGTCCCTTGGAGTTTATTTACTTGGTTTTCTCTTGTATTTTTAGTTAGGGCAAGTGTGAGAACAGTGCATGTGAGAGGAGAGGCAAGGAGAGTGGGAGAGAATAAAAATATGTACTTATTTTTTTAATTTTCATAGTGAATTTCTTGGTGTGGTTTTGTGGGTTTTTCCCTATTTTGGGGTTTTCCATGTTAAATCATGTTGTCCTTTACTTTTATGTTGCTTTTACTTTCTTGCTTGTTTTGTTATTGTGGTGTTTACTCAATCTCCATCATCCCCAACAACTGGTATTAGAGCGAGGTTTCTCAGATCGAGTGGGAGTAATGGCAGAAGAAGCAAGGTACAAGATTGAAAAGTTTATTGGTTCGACCTTCACATTCTGGAGGATGCAAATTGAAGAGTTTGATGTATCAGAAGCTGTATTTACCGTTGGAAGTAATCATCAAGAAGCCGTATTCTATGACTATGGAGGAATGGGAGGTTCTTAATCGGACTGCACTAGTTTTCATACGACTTTTACTTCCCTCATATGTTGCCTTCAACATTGTAAATGAGAAGACCACAGTTGATCTCTTGGCCAAGCTGCATTGACCAAGAGCGGCATTGACCAAGATGTTTGAGAAGCCATCGGCCTCAAGCAAAATAGTCATGATGAAGAAGTTATTCAATATGAAAATGTTGGACATGACGCCAATGGTGGAATACCTGAATAATCTGAACACTGTGAAGAGTCAATTGTGTTCAATTGGCATAAAATTTGATGATGAGGTAAGGGCATTGTTGTTGTCATCTTAATTGTCAGAAAGCTGGGATGGGCTTGTTACTGCTGTAACTCTTTGGGAAGTTCAAAGATGAACTTTGAGGACATTATGGGGTTAGTTCTCAATGAAGAGGTTCGTAGGAGGGCGAACGATGAATCTTCAAATTCTACTCTACATGTTGAAGCAAGAGGTTTTAGAGAGACATCCTAGTAGAGGGATATGTAAATCCAAGAGAGGGAAGTCTACTCTTGGTAGAGGTAACGTTGTGTGCTGGAGCTGTGTAAAGAAGACTCACTTGAAGGATTGTACAGTTTCAAAGAAGGCTATTGGTGGAGATCATGATAAAAATTAATTTGCAAATGTATCTGCAGAAGGATGTCAGTCATATTCTTTGATTTTATCTCCGGACAATTTTGAATCTTGGCTGGTAAATTCAGGTGGTTCTTTTCAAGCAAGTTCTAACAAGGAATC